AGCCGCTTGAGCCATAGGCGCCAAGCCTATTCAGGGCATTGTTGTTTGGCGGGTCCGGGCTGGGGATTCGAACCCGCCACCTTAGGTGTACGTGGCTGGCGCCCTAGCCGGTTGAACCATAGGCGCCAAGCCTATTCAGTAGACTCTTGGGAGTCTAAAGCTGAGGGCCTCCCCCACAAAGCAAAGCAAAGCAAAACAAAGCAAAAAGGCCCCGCAAAGATCCACACATGAATTTACATTCAATTTCAGGGGCTTCACAGGGAACCTCCTCCCCCCATGAGGACCCCAAGTTAAAAGATTTCACCGTGCAAGATTTAAGGAAGTATGAGATTTGTAAAATGTCATTACAGGGCAGTAAATTTTCAATGTCAAATAAATAGTGAAAGCAGAGATTACTAAAGAATGGTAAAGGGGCTTAGGATCAGTGTAGACTTCATGAAGAAAGTAGAACTTAAAACTTGTTAATGGAAGGGAAATCTGACATAGGGGTCAACACTAACCGGCCTGCACAGCCCTTAGAAATGTCCCCAGGGCTATGCACCTGGCTGACTAGGCTTCATCTCCTCATCACCCTGGGTTGGCAGAGGGACCCAGGTAGGGGACACAGAAATGCCAGTGTCCTAGAAACAGTGTCTCTGAATGTTAAAGGGTTCTATGGTCACAAGCTCCAAGAAACTGACTTGGAGAACTCTCAGAAAGAAGAGTCGTATTCAACTATTTACTTCAATATTTTCTTAACTTCTTTGACTGTGAGAGTTTATATTTTCCCCTTCACATGACCCTCATGAGCTCAAGATGCATCTCAGGAGTGCATTTTGGGAAAAGCTCTTGAGGAAAATTAAGCATTCCAGAAAGGTTTGGAGCAATGGCACAGTTTTGGGTTGTGATGTGTGTTGTAAGAAGATTAATGGGACAACCATGTGTGGGAATGGAGTGGCCACCAGAGAAAAGAGGCAGGGGGTGCCTGAACCACAATAAGTCATGCAGTGACAAGGTACATTTGTCAGGGAATGAGAAAAAAATGTGCATGTTTTCTCGTGGATGATTATACTGCTACTCTTTTCTCCCCAGGAAATGACCTTTGGCTTTAAAAGGAAGACTCCATTTTTCATGATAAAATGGCAGTGGTGAAAACCCCCAGCAGAGAACTAAAGAATGCTGAAGAACCCTTTAATAGTGTGTCACCCCTCCTTTTGAAGAGCCTGGTGCAGGAGCCTGAGAAAAGAACAGAAGTACCTAATCACCTCCTAGAATCGAGTAAGTGGCTAGAAGACAGATTTGCTTTATAACTCGTATCTTCGGAGGGAGCGAAAGTCCAGAAAGCATAATAGAATTTTTGGTGCTGATTTATCTATATCATTTTATAGGGTTATCATGGTTTTAATTACTAAGAACAATGGTTCTATTTAAATCTATCTGCTTAAGTGATAGATTTTTGTGGTAGAAATTACTCAACAAGTTCTGTTGCTTCTGCTTTCTCAGATATCTCTCCTGTCTGTCCCCCCTCCCCTGCCTTGTTTCCCATCTTTGGTGAGTAACCCAGACTCTTACAGTGGTCTCCTCCCTGGCCTCATGCTTGTCTTGCAATTTTCTTTCTAGAATCCCGGCTGGCACTTGTCTCTATTCTGCTTATATACTTTCAGTGCTCCTCTTGCATGCAGAATAAAGTCACCATTCCTTGCTTGGTCCTTAGTCCCCTTCACTGTTTGATCTGAACCTGTCTCCTCATCACCATCTCCTGCTGTGCTCTGCTCATCCCCAGCCACACCAGGTTACCCCCTGCTCCATCAGGCCACTGATTGGCACATAGTACTTCTCTACATATCTCTGCTCCTGCCTAAATAAAGAGCTGGGGCGTGATGCCTGTGGCTCAGTGAGTAGGGCCTGGGCCCCATATACTGAGGGTGGCAGGTTTGAACCCAGCCCCAGCCAAACTGCAACAAAAAAATAGCCAGGTGTTGTGGCAGGTGCCTGTAGTTCCAGCTACTTGTGAGGCTGAGGCAAGAGAATAGCCTAAGCCCAAGAGCTGGAGGTTGCTGTGAGCTGTGA